AGCCTGGGCTGGTGGGAGGTGTCCCTGCCCATGCAGGGGGTTGGGACTTGGATGGTCTTGAAGGTCCCTTCCAACCCAAACCAGGCTGGGATTCTCTGATTTAATCCCGTGAGGGAGGGGTGATGTCTCAGCCCCGGTGCTGCTGGAGCTGCAATCAGGTGCTCCAGCCCCGGGAGGCTCAGCCTGGGCTAATAACTGTGGGTGAGTTTGGGCAGTGCCAGCGCGGGTGCTGGTGGCACCGGGGCTGAGTCACCGTCCCGGAAATCCCCGGCACCCTCGGGCAAACCCAGCCTCCTGTTATTTTTAGTCTGGAAGAATGAGGGCCACACCCTGCCCGAAATCCCTGGATTGCCCTCACAGTTTCAGGTGAGGGCCACGTCACTCCCGGGCTTCTTACTGTATCATTAACTTGTACCGGGGATTGTTGCTTCCTGCAGTGTCGTGATGGGCCCCAGCTCCCCCTTTGCCACCCACCCAGCTGCTTTTCCTCCCTGGGACTGGTTATTTTGGCAGCCATCAAAATATACAGCCAGTCATCAAGTCCAAGCATTAACCCAGCCCTGCCAAGGCCACCACTGCCCCATGTCCCTCAGCACCACATCTACAGGGCTTGGAAACCCCTCCAGGGATGGGGACTCCCCCCTGCCCTGGGCAGCCTGGGCCAGGGCCTGACAACCCTTTCCATGAAGAAATTGTTCCCAAGATCCAACCTAAATCTCACATGGGCAACTTGAGGCCATTTCCTCTTGTCCCATCCCTTGTTCCTGGGGAGCAGAGCCCGACCCCCCTGGCTCCAACCTCCTCTCAGGCAGCTGCAGAGCCAGCAGGTCTCCCCTCAGCTCCTTGTCTCCAGGCTGGACACCCCCAGCTCCCTCAGCTGCTCCTCACCAGTTCTCCAGACCCTTCTCCTTCTGCTCCAGCCCCTGCCCCAGCTCCCTGGCCCTTCTCTGGACACCCTCCAGCCCCTCCATGTCCTTCTTGTCCTGAGGGGCCCAGAACTGACCTCAGGATTCCAGCTGCCCCCTCACCAGGGCTCTTCTGCATGGGGGGACAATCCCTGCCCTGGTCCTGTTGGCCACACTAGTGCTGGTGCAAGCCAGGATGCTGGTGGCCTTCTTGGCTGATGACCAGCAGCCCCAGGTATTTGCATCCTGCTGTAAATCTTGCTGAAAATCTGCATAAACACAGGAGCTGGGGCCTCTGCTACGAGCAGCATCACACATTGTCCAGTTGGGGGGAATCATCAGAAGAACAAAAAAACCCCATTAAATCCCTAAGCAGAACTGTTGTCCCCAACTTGGCTGCTGCCGTGGAAGGAAGATATTGGACACAGAGTTCAAAAGTAATTATTTTTATTTCAACTCTATAAAGTATACAACAGGCACTCGGCAATTACAGCTGCAGGGAAAATACAGAGCAAAACAAAAGCAGTTTCAGTGGATGAAAAAGATCTTAAGTCTACACCAAAAGAGTGCAACTGGCCGGTGGCCGGTGGGGACCGACGTTTGTCCGACAAACAAAACCTCTTATGTGACAAGAAAAGTGGAGAAAACAAAGATATAAAGCGAAAGGCCGGTGTAAAACCAGCGGAAGTTGGGACTGAGGATGACAGGGAACTCCAAAGGAGAACTTCCCCCAAGAAATCCCTCAAGTCCCAGCATCACGCCTGGGGAGGCCGAGGAGCTCCCGGCTCGGGCTCCACGGTGGGTTGCATATTGAAGGAGTCAGGGTGGGAAAAAGCACAACTCCTTGTTTGTTGAGTGGTGCCAACGAGCTTTGCCTCGGGGGTTTTGCTTGTCTTTTTTTTTTTTTTTTTGTCGTGTTGGTTTCTTTTTGTTTTCAGGTTTCTACAGGGGGGGTTGTGTAAAGACGGGAGGTCAGCGCTGGACAGCACGATGGGTTGAATCTGCACAGCTTAGCAAAACAGGAATACCTGTCTACAGACTGCTAGGATGTCATATATTAATTTGACCCGCACATAACATGTATACATTTCACAGAAATGACTCTGTATCTCATTAACAGATACACAGCTCTGGTACATTGAACAGAAATAAGAGAACGACGTCATCATTTCTGTAATTCATCAATATTAGATAATAAAGGCTTAGAAATCGGTAGCAGAAAGAACTGTAAAACGCAGCAAGCTAAGAAAGGACAACATTTTGAGGTGTGTTTGTCTTTGTCATGCAGCATAACACCAAATTTGTAAGTTTGTTGTTGTTTTCTTTTTAATAGGATGCCATGGATTTAAGGCACTTGCAACAATGCCGGGTAGCTAGTCATGTGCTAAACTATGGGACAGATGAGTTAACAGTACAGTTGACATAAAGTTTAATAATACTGACAATCATGACATTAATTCAAGTCTACCTTGAGCTAAAAACATTACATTACCAAAAAAAAGAAAAGGAAGTAATAATGCCATGGAACTCTAAAAGAAAAAGAAAGTTCTATGTGTACCACAAAATATCAACACGAAAATACCTATTTACATCAATACTGTGGTCCTGTTGTTAAATAAGAGTTTGCTCTGGATATAAATGCAGCACTGTGAGAAGCTACGGATCATCTGTGTCTCGAAGACACCAACCTTAAACCACTGGTTTTCAAGACAGGAGCTAATTTCCCCTTACACAAATACCCCCTCGTCCCATACGTGAAAAAAAGGAGACGACGAAGTAAGTGGGAACACAGAGGCAATCCGTGGGTGGGAATACATATCTAGCTAGAATGCAACACAAATATATCATTTATAAATGAAGGTGTTTATCATATACATAGGCTGTGTTGTTCGAAGGATGCTTGGGAGAGGTGATGAAAGGTGGGGAAGGTAGTGGGGATCAAAGCCAACTCCCACCGAGGGCAGCGCGCACAGGGAGCGCCGCATGTGGCACAAGAAAGAAGGGGTAGGAAGAAAGAAAAAGAACTCATCAGCCCATTGGAAAACCTTCCTGTCATGTTTCCAGGTTGCCCCCCCACCCCAAAATCGTGGTGATGCTCCTTCCTCCTGGCAAGCCCTTGACTGCCAACTGCATCTCAGCTACCCAGGATCATCGCTGTGGGACAGGCTCCTCTCTACGGTCTTCTAAGGAAATGTGTCCAAATCAATGAGGTTGCTCTTCCAATGTCAGTGCATCCATCGAGTGAAAAACAAGGGGGACAGGAGGAAGGAACTGGGCTTTCAGGCAGAAGCCTGTTTGCTAAGATGCTGGGTGATTATTTTAGCCCTGGTGCCCAGCATGGGCATCCTCCATCCCTCAGAGCAAGGCTGAGAAGCCAGCCTGTATTTGCCCTACGGGAGTAATTCCCAGGAGACCTAGTTACTGCCTTTTCCCTATGGTTGTCAAGGCAAACAAGGTTGTAATCATTCATGAATAGTGGAAATAACCTGAAATTGCTGTGCCAGTGGTGCTGCCTCACCCTTTGGAAAATCAGGAAGGAAATTCAGCAGCACAGATTGGGTTTGACAGGGTGGCGAGGACCAGGCTTTTTAGTTGGCTGGCAAACAGCAGATGTTGGCAATGCTGCAGGGGAGAAAATGCCTTTTAAATACCCTCCTTTCAGTCACTTTTGTTCGGAACATGGGAAAGAGATGGAACCCAGCACTGAGGAAATTTTTATTTATTGTTAAAACACACGTTTCCCTCCCACTTCGTAGGCAAAAGTTGCTCTTTCGACTTGCAGCGTATCTAACAGCTCTTGGCAGCTCTGAGATGGCAGGAAGGGTTTCCTCTGTTACATCCTACAAACCAGCAGACACTGCACTACAGAAAAGGAAAAGTAGTGGGAGGGAAAAGTGTCCACATGATAATATTATTCTTCCCAGTTTATTTTCTTCACCTGGGCTGACTCAGCTCTAGTCACTCCCATGCCTTGAACAGTCACTGGGGACCTGATACACTGGAGATCAAACACACCCATTATCACTTTTCCATTCAATTCCACTGACGCTTCTGTGGAGTTCCTTAGGATTTACCTTGTTATGGGCAATGTTACCAGCAGAACCAGCAAACTGGCCCCCTGCCACCTTGCATTTCAACCAGCTTTGCACTGAAGACGGAACAGATGCAGACGCGGAGACGTAAAATCACCCAAGAACGTGATGGAGAACGATGCCTCTTGCTACATATTTCTGAAATGGTGGTTGACTCTGTTGCTGTTCACAGAGGAGGGATGTACATAGCACCTCTAAAGTACGTTACGGGTCTTGCATTTTCCCTTTGGGTTCTAAAAAGATAAGGGTTAAGCTTAGTTTTATGCCTAGTAGCTAATCAGTAAGACCAGTGGGCTGCTGTCGCTTTATTACAGAACCATGATTTAAGCACTATTTTATATGTAAAATTGATTAATTTGATGATTATTTTTTTCCATGCAGTTATGTATTTGTACCAAGGGAAAGGAAAAAAACCCAAAACAAGAAGCCCAAACGTTGTGTTACAGGATGTTCTCAGCTGTATGATGGAAGCGACCCATATCTGCCTTAACAGGATCTAGAGCAGTTGTGCTTTTGTTTTACCAGGCTAAAAAAGAATAAAACCAACCAGCTTCTCAAAAAGAAAGAGGAAAGGTAACATTCAGTCTTGTCAAGAATACTGCTCAGAAATAAAAAAGGACACATTTTATCACTGCTTGGACGTGAACTCTTTGACCAGTACCGTTGTGGTCCTCCTTTGCTCCTATGCTGGCCTACAGAAGATCCACGGAGTCTGGAGGGTGGGAGTAGCCCAAATCCTGCCCTGTATTTAGCTACAGCACTTAATAAATTACTAGTGATCCTACTGAGAAAGCCAGTACCTTGCAGCTAGAGAATTAAGTGCATCTTACACTACATTACCTCTCGACTTGAATAATTAAGAGCGTAGCAAGATCGTGGTGGTGACAGAAACCACGTTTCTTTCCTGGTGAAAGGCTTTTGTGTCAGGACCACCATGTCAAACCGCTATTTCAAGTTCAAACAGAAAACATGAAGAGTACTATTGTCATCTAAGCAAGAAGTCCTAATGCCACTGTAGTTACTGTAGCAGCATCAATCAAGGCATCATGGTGACCCCGAGCACTAATCCTCCCCAGTTCTTTCGGTTTCGCTGGCAGCCAAGTCCCAGGAGAGCTGTCCTCAGCAAGGCAGAAGCAGGTAAGAGAAAGACCTTAAAAATCTATGTCCCATCCTGAGTTGTCGTCAGGGGGTGGTTCATCACTGTCCTCTGGGAAGCTGTCAAAATTGCTTGTGTCTGTCGGAGATGCAACCTGTGAGAAGAAGAGAGGGACAAGAAGGGGATGGTCATCACAAAAGATCTCTACAGGCAGCTCCTCTCCATCTCACAACCATTCAAGATAATTGCTAAATGCAGCAGGCATCTGAAGATCTTCATTTAACAACTGCTTGCTGAATCCCAGGATGACTTCCCAGAGCCCCCCCATCTCTATGCCAACAATCCAGAACGTACAGGGTCTCTAGTTCAAGAGCAACTTTCCTACCTGTTGGTACAAGGTCACCAGGAGAAATGTGGAATAGCCCAAAAGCCCAGGATTTCCAATTTATAGCTCCAAGATCCAAAATTTGAGACTGTGAGCTGGGCCTTGCCTCCCTCCTCTGAGTTTCCTCACAAGTACTGCTGAGTGTAAGGAGCCTACCAGAGAAACCCATCTTCCCAGGATGAAGGCCAACTCTGTTTCTTTTTTGGAAAGAACATACTTGAAGCCCCACCCCAAGTAGCCAGTGCAGGCTGAGGTGCCTGCACTTGCCTCAGGAGTGCTGAGCAGGAAACACTTGCTCTATTTTTTGGCCATTTCCCTTATAAAGCTGGTGGAGAAGCCAGGACCAGATCCCAGCCTACGGTCCAGGACATATTATTGATGCTGGATGCGGCTATAAGCCTTGGCACAAGACTCTTGGATCACCCAGAGCTCCAACTTGAGCTCAGAATGTAAGTTGCTGCCCAGATGCATCAGCATTTCCCCTGGGGAGAATGAAGATCCCTGAATATCCAACTTGTTTTGAAAAAAAACCCCAACACGGAAAAGCTTCCTGGAGTCCTACAGAGTGGTGAGGTGCTTCCCTGTGTGTTGAGTCCTCTAACTAGTTTCTTCTGACTTCTCCAGGTCTGTTTACACTGCTGAGCTGGAGAGCCTTCACCCTCCAGGTCCTCACCCTTGGGGTGCTCCACACTTGCCCTCCTTCATGGTGCCATGGGCTGGACCACATTCCTCTGCCTTACTCCATGTGAGCTCTCCCTCTGGGAGCAGAAGCACTGGGGATAGTACAGCCAACACCTCCAATGTAGAGGGTCTTCTTCCTCTTAGAAGAAGAAGAAATATGATTTGGGGAACAGATGTTGGGTGAGTTGTTACTCTGCTGATTGACTTCATGAGATACTAATGCTGTTGGTGTGCAGCTCCCCACAGCTCTGAGGTCCAGGTGACCTACATGACCTGCAGTCCTTAGCTGTCAGAGATGTGGGAACAAATGTCCCCCTCAACACCCTCTCCAGCCAAGAAGGGACACTCTAGATTTATCTCCTGTCCATCCAAGAAGATAAGAGTGCAGATGTCAGCATCAGCTGTCTGGCTGCTTACCAACATCTGGGCTTGGGATGAGGTGTGGTGTAGAGATCTGCACGTCCTTCTCAAAGGCAAGAGCTGTGGTGCAAGACACCACATCTTTGGAAGAGTCAAGAAGCAGGAGAAGCTTTGCAGGACAGATTTAAGTGGTCACAGATTTAAGAGGTGGTATCAGGGCTGAGCTGCTGCCTGAAGCAATGTCCTAGGAGCAGGCTGTAAACTGCCATCTCCTAAAATCTCATGGGATAAGAGTTAAGGGGGAGCTTTCAGGTGCCCCACCAGCAGTACCATGTAACTTGACAAAGCATGGATCTGACAGATGAACCACTCAGTGGATAAGAAATTGGCTGGATGGCCCCACCCAGAGAGTTGTGGCTCAATGTCCAAATGGAGGCAGGGGACGAGTGGTGTCCCTCAGGGGTCATTACTGGGACCAGGGCTGTTTAACATCTTTGTTGGAGACATGGACAGTGGGATTGAGTGTATCCTCAGCCAGTTTGCTGATGATCCCAAGCTGTGTAGTGTGGTTGACATCCTAGAGGGAAGGGATCCATCCAGAAGGACCTTGACAGGCTGGAGAGGTGGGCCACTGCCAACCTCATGAAGTTCAACAAGGCCAAGTGCAAGATCCTGCCCCTGGGTCAGTGCAACCCCCGGGGACAAATCCAGGCTGGGGGGAGAATGGTTGGAGAGCAGCCCTGAGGAGAAGGACCTGGAGATGGGAGGACATGAGCCACCAGTGAGGGCTGGAGCCCAGAGAGCAACTGCATCTTGGGCTGCATCACAAGAAGTGTGGGCAGCAGGGCCAGGGAGGGGATCCTGTCCCTCTGCTCTGCTCTGGTGAGACCCCACCTGGAGTGTTGTGTCCAGCTCTGGAGCCCTCAGCACAGGAAAGACAGGAAGCTGTTAGAGAGGGTCCAGAGAGGGGCTACCAGGATTATCCAAGGGCTGGAGCAGCTCTGCTCTGGAGCCAGGCTGGGAGAGTTGGGGCTGTTCAGCCTGGAGAAGAGAAGGCTCCAGGGAGACCTGAGAGCACCTTCCAGTGCCTGAAGGGGCTCCAGGAAAGCTGGGGAGGGGCTTTTCATCAGAGAAGATAGGACAAGGGGTGATAGATTTAAACTGAGAGAGGGGAGGTTCAGGTTAGATATTAGGAAGAAATTCTTCACTCTGAGGGTGGTGAGGAACTGGGATGGGTTGCCCAGGGAGGTTGTTGATGCCCCATCCCTGGAGGTTTTAAGGCCAGGTTGGATGAGGTTTTGTGCAACCTGGTCTAGTGGTTCCTTGCTCATGGCAGGGGGGTTGGAGCTTGGTGATCTTTGAGGTCCCTTCCCAGCTTAATGATTCTATCATTCTATGATTCTAACTGCTGGTGAGGGTTCAAGAGGCTCATTTTCTTAAAAACACAAAAGTCTTTGAGTCCTGCTGGCTCCTTTCCAGGTAACAAAGAGAGATGCACTCACTGAAGGAAAAATGCATTTCTTCTTCTTTTAGGTCACTTTGCAGATATGGCCCTTGCTAGCAGCTGGGATGTTTGCCAAAGCAACTCAACTGCTCATGGAAAACAAAGGTGAGAGGGGCTGAGAGCTTTGGGGTGGACAAGGGTCACCAGTCAACGGAGGCAGATTTTGGAGAGGATCTCAGGAGAGTGTCTAGAGAAGATTTTACTCCCAAGAGCTCTAGGAAAGGAACCATGTTTAACTGGGATTAGGGAAATGCAGGGCAGAAGCTGTGGTGGAAGAAAGATGGAGTCCTCTGAAGAGGGAATGATGCTCCAGGCTACTTCAGACAGCCTTGGTGGGGGTGTGCTGGCCACAAGGGTCCAGATGTATATACTGGGTAAAAGTAATATTGGCAATGCTCTTGCTAAACTAAATACCCACTAAAACCATTAAAGAACCATACTGGGGCATTTTCAGGCTACACTGACATCCCACACAGGTAAACCAGGAATTCAAACTGGATGTGATGGAGCAAACTTGACTTTCTTGTCTGACTTAGAATTTCAGAGTCCCAGACTGATTTGGGTTGGGAAGGACCTTAGAGAATACCTAGACCCAACCCCCCTGCATGGGCAGGGACACCTCCCACCAGCCCAGGTTGCTCCAAGCCCCATCCAACCTGCCCTTCAACACTGCCAGGGATGGGGCAGCCACAGCTTCCCTGGGCAACCTGGGCCAGGGTCTCACCACCCTCACAGTGAAGAATTTCTTCCCAAGATCTCATCTCAATCTCACCTCATTTGGCTGGAAACCCTTCCCCCTGCTCCCATCCCTCCCTGCCCTTGTCCCAAGCCCCTCCCCAGCTTTCCTGGAGCCCCTTCAGGCACTGGAAGGTGCTCTAAGGTCTCCCTGGAGCCTTCTCTTCTCCAGACTGAACACCCCAACTCTCCCAGCCTGGCTCCAGAGCAGAGCTGCTCCAGCCCTCTGAGCATCCTCATGGGTTCATCTGGACTCTCCCCAAAGGCTCCATGTCCTTTTGGTGTTGGGGGCTCATTGTTCACCACTTCAAATGTTGTGAACAGTAACGTCTGACATTAATAGCCATTGAAAAGCTTAACAGAAACTCCCTCATTTTGGTTCAGAAAGCACTTGATCATTGGGCATCCTGCTTTAGGCAGCTATTTTTTAAGTCCAGCTTTCTCCACTGGAACGTTCTGCAGCCCATAGGGTTAGAGGGGGGGGCATGCAAAGCCCTTGTTTTGCTGTTCAGAAAAGGTTGGGCTGGCAGTTGTGGCCCTGGAGCTGTTCCTGCTGCTGCTGCAGGGGGGCAGGACCACGGGTGGATGGAGCTCCGGGGGCAATTCAACCCCATCCCTAATGTCATTCCCTGGGAGAGAAAGGGATTAAGTTGAAAGGAGGAGGGGAGGCTGCAGAGCAGAAGGGGCCAAGGTAATTTCTATCAGCTAATCCTGTTTTGTTTCCCTTTGCAGAGGGTGAAGAGCTCACAAAGACATCAAAGGCAGAGCTTTGCTCCAAAGGAAAAGGAGTCGAGCTGTCCCTCCCTGTTAAACATCAACAGGGCTTGGCATGTAGGACACAGATGTGGGGGGGAAAGGGTGAAAAGCAAGAGAGAAAAGCAAGCCAAAAGACAAGACAGAAGGGAGATGCAAAGGAGAAGGGAGATGGCCCAGGGATCCCACTTGCCTCCTCAGAAGAAGTAAGAGTAAAGGAGAAGGCCAGAGGACACACCTGAGAGGAGGGGTGGAAGCACCAGCTCTACATTGGGAGGTGAAAAGGAGGTGAAGACACAAGTGGAGCAGGTGAGGAAAAGGAAAAACAGTAGGAGTGTGAGTGGTCCCACCCCCAACTCCTGCTGCCAAGGGCATTTTCTCACCCTCCTGCCCTCCCTAAACCACCTGCTCCTGGCAGAGATCACCTGGGGAGCAAGCACTGCTGGGAATGTCTCTAAGGTGACTTCTTCAAGCATCTTCAGAAGAAGCAGAGCACATGTTGTCCCTGAACTGCAGTGCACAAGTGCCCAAAGCTCACAACACCCACAGAGAAGAAACTTACTGGCGACAAAGGAGAAGACAAGTAGGAAAACTTACACTTGGGATGATGGGAGGTGTCAGTGTCCCTTTTCGTAACCCTTCCCAGTTAAAGCCTTCGAACCATCTAGAAGGGAGGGAAGAAAGAAACCATCAGACACACAGTGAAATATCTCCCCATAACACTAAATGAAATGTCAGTTGCTTAAACAGTGGCTTTCAAGCCCCTCAAGTCATCATCTTCAGCTTGTCCAATGAGACTTAATCATTTTTCCTGTCATCTTTATGTATGTTTTTTGGGACTGAAAATGAAGGGTGAGTAGCAGCTGCCCAGGGGTGATACCATGGCAAGAACAAGTTCCCAATGCTCGGAGAAAAATCAGTCCTCACTGAAAGTGTCCTGGCAGCTGCTCCTGCCTTTCCATAGGGCTGATCCCTCCCATATGGGACCTCTCAGGTCCTTTCTTCATAGGAGATTGGGAGCTAAGGACAGGCATGGGAGGGTTTTCTCTTGTTTTGGGCATCTCAGATTTACTTGATATACAGCAGCTTAGGTGACAAGCCCTGAGCTGAGCCTTCAATCCCTGGACATCCAAAATGTCCATCCAACCCATTTCTGCTGCTTTGGGGATGGGAGGAGAGAAAGGTCAGCATGGTTGGATGAGATAGCCTGCTTCTGCAATGGGTCTCCAGCTTGTTCTTCTCCCTCTCGAGCAGTGGGAAAACCGGGAGACATCACTGAACAACTCTCTCCCACCAGCCAAAGAGGTATGATGAAGTAACATGATGGGTAGAGAGAAAGTGGGTTGGGCTGGGGGGGCAGGGCAATGGAGGAAAACCTTGGGAAGTGGTTCTGCAAACCAAAAACCTCCAAGCAGACAGTGGCAGAGCTTGATTGCTCTTCTGCATTAGAGACATTAAAGCACAATGTTGAAGTGTTTGGAAGGCATGTGTTGGCTGTCATCTGTGTGTTGGCTCTGATGGCTGGTGGAGAAGACACTTACTTGTGCTTTTGGATGTCTTTCACCCCATTTTTCAAGTTCCCTAATCTTTCTGATGGATTGTCCCTGTAAATCAAACAACAAAGTGGTTACTTGAATCCTTCTGAAGGATCCACGTCTTCACACACCAGACCAGAGGGATTGTATTTGATGTGCTCACCTGCATAGTTTTTTAATTAAATTAGCAGCATTTTTGGCAATCTTCTTTGGAAATTCAATCATGTCTATTCCCCTTAGTATGATGTTATAGGTCTTCATGGGGTCTGGGCCTGAGAAAGGGGGACTTGAGAGGGGAGATGGAAATAAAGATTAAAAACTTGTCTTTAAAATACCTTTAAAAACTTGTCTTTAAAATACCATTAAAAACTGACCACAAATGAACACATCAACACCCAGAGCTGACAGCCTGTGTCCAACAGCCCCAGGGACAAGGGGTCTGAGCAACACACACTGGCTTATTCTCTGGTGGATGTTGTGACATGTGTTGAGTGGGGATTCATTCATTAACAGAAGCAGGGCCTGGGTCCTGCCCCCAGGGATAAGCTGCTTAGGGTGATGGATCCTTTTCCTGCTCCTGTATCCTGGGAGCTGGTGATGGGGAGGGAAAGGAGGCAGTGCCAGGAAGCCACCACTGCCTCTGATATATTGTAGGGACATGGAATGTATTTTTAGGGACATGGAATATATTTTTAAGGACATGGGTTATTGGAGGCCTTGGCAGTGCTGGCTTAATGGTTGGACTGGATGACCTGAGAGCTCTTTTCAAACCAAACTGGTCTCAGATCCTCTGCACATCCAAAACTAAGGGAAGGGATGGATACAGGGATGCCAGGCCCCACAGTGTGGTGGCAGCTCTGCCTCCTCCCTCCCAGATGTTCAGCAACCACTGCACCTCCCCGGGTGCACTGCAAATCCCTTCCCCAGCTTGCTCAGCTCACTCAGAGCCACAAATGTGGTTTTGGTGTCATTTCACAGGATTTCCTAAAAACCCTGCTCCTCTCCTGCCTGCTGAGAGGTCTGCAGGGAAGGATTGAAGGTGGAGAAAGGGGTGGGGAGGTCCAGCAGCACAGCACACAACCGTGCTGAGCCTTCCCCTCTCCTAATCAGGGTGACAACAGCAGAAATAGTGGGATCTGTTTTCAGCCCTGATGCCCATACCTGCCAGTCAGGAGCTCATACATCAGGATTCCCAGGGACCAGTAGTCAGCTGAGATGTCGTGCCCTTTGTTCAGGATGATCTCGGGGGCCACGTACTCCGGGGTCCCACAGAAAGTCCATGTTTTCTTTCCAAAGCCTATTTTCTTTGCAAAGCCAAAATCGACCTGGGGAAGGGAGCAGGGGGAACGTCAGCCCTGTGCTCTGCTCCAAGCTCTTGAAGGGAAGGAAGCCAAGCAGAAAGGAGGTTTCCTCGTGGGAATGTTCTCCTAACTAAAGCCCAGTGAGTGGCTGCAGGACCAGGCAACCCCAGGGACTTTTAGCCCCTTTTATCCTTCATGATTTAAGAGGAAGATTCATGTGAGGGGAGAGGAACAAAGGCCAACACCACAGGTTCCCTGGGAGATGAAGCTTCCTATCATCCCCAGCTCAGGCTGATTTATTTGGTCTTCTTTTTTTGAACTCCCAGCCTGGATCTGAGCAAATGTTGCAGCTAAATACTGACCAGTCTGGTAGGTTCAGTGCTCCTTCCCAGAGCAAAGAGGGATGCAGTGCAACAAAGGACCTCACAGTCTGCTTGAGGCTGTCACAATGTGCTGCTGGGGCTCACAAACCTCAGCATGTCCCTGTGGCACCAGCAACCTCAGGGAGGGCATCAACTCCTCCTTAGACACAGCTCATTTTAGGGATGCATTGCCCCATCCCTCACTGATGGCTTCCCAAGTGCCCACATCCTCCAGCACCTCCTACCAAAGGAAGTCCTTCTTTTCTTCTCCCCCTTCTCTGTGGTCTCACTGGGAATTTGGGGTGTACCTACCTCACCCTGCAGTGATTTCTGAGGCAGAACCAGAGGGGAGACCTTCTTGCTCTCTACAAGTGCCTAAGAGGAGGTTGGAGTGAAGGGGTTGGTCTCTTTGTCCAAGGAACAAGTGACAGAACAAGAAGAAACAGCCTCAAGCTGTGCCAGGGGAGGTTCAGATTGGATCTTGGGAACAATTTGCTTCTGAACAGGGTTGTCAGGCTCTGGCCCAGGCTGCCCAGGGCAGGGCTGGAGGCATATCCCTGGATGTATGTGGTGCTGAGGGGCATGGGTAGTGGTGGCCTTGGCAGGGCTGGGGGAACTTGATGATCTTAAAGGTCTTTTCCAACTCAAACTCAAAATAGATTCAATGCTTCTGTAAAACAATGAGTGAACGAAGCCAGGCAGTGAAACCCATCAGAAACCCCCTCATTTTTGGGGTGGAGGTCTTGCCATCCTGGCTTCAGGAGGTGGATCTTGCAGGGAACAGCACTGGAAAGGACCACGACCTTCTGGGAAGAGGAGGAGTCCCAGAGGAGTCAGCACAGACCAGCCCCAGAAGGGGTTCTCCTAAAGCAAGAAGCTCTGTTGGCCACAGCAACACACTCCAGGGCCACTCATACTACAGAAGTCTTTCCATGACAGGCTGCTGATGAATATTCCCACTGGAATTTGCTCACACAAAGGACCTGACACAGAAACAGCAGCTTCCAAAAGCTGCTTCACCAGTTGCCTAAGAAGCCCACCAGATGCAAATCCTCCCCCTGCCCCACCAATCATTTAAGACACCTCTTTTCAAGTTATTTTCCAGCCTTTCAGTAGCTCCAAAGCAGCTGGAGAAACCTCCCTGAGTGTTCTTCTCTAAACACTTCCAGTTCAGGACCCCAGATCTGAATTTCAAGCCAGAATTAGTGTTTCCCAGCTCAGCTGTACCCTGAGCTTCAGCTTGCTGGAGGTTGGGAAGACCTCCCAGGGATGGGTGATGACACCTTTGCCCTGACCTCACCTCAGCATGTCCTGATGGCCACCAGCAGAGACAGGACCCTGGGCTGGGTGGACTTTGCTTCTGCCTCTTTCTGCCCACTCCTGTGTTCTCCTCTACCTCTAACACCAGTGTCTGGTAGCAGTGGTGACTTTCTTTTGGCCAACCAGACGTTTCAGGCACTCACCAGTTTGGCATAACCTCGATGATCCAGAATGAGATTTTCTGGCTTGAGGTCCCTATAAATGATCCCCTTGGAATGCAAATAGGCAAAAGCTTCCACCACACACGCTGTGTAGAACCTGGTGGTCGAGTCCTCAAATGAACCTCTAGGGAAAACAAGAGAGGGAAAAGGGAGTAAAGCAATGAAATCCCTTCCCTTCCTGGACCTCACACTACTATGAAAACATCTGCACAGTTCAGTAGAATCACTCTAACACCTGGAAAGTGCCTGTTGTGCCCTCATGGCCAAGAGAGCCAGTAGAATCTTGCAGAGCAGTAGGAACGGTGTCTCCAGCAGGTCAAGGGAGGCTCTCCTCCCCCTCTGCTCTGCCCTAATGAGGCCACATCTGGAGTGTTGTGTCCAGTTCTGGGCTCCCCAGTTCAAGAGGGACAGGGATCTACTGGAGAGAGGCCAATGGAGGCTATGAGGATGATGAAGGGACTGGAACATCTGTCTGATGACTGATGAGAGACCTGGGGCTGTTTAGGCTGGAGAAGACTGAGAGGGGACCTGATGAATGTGTCAGGAATGGGCCAGTCTCTGTTCAGTGGTGCCTGTGACAGGACGAGGGGAAACGGCACCAAGTGACAACACAGGAAGTTCCACCTCAACATGAGGAGAAACTTCTTTCCTGTGAGGGTGACAGAGCCCTGGGACAGGCTGCCCAGAGAGGCTGTGGAGGCTCCTTCTCTGGAGACTTTCAAGCCCCATCTGGACACGTTCCTGTGTGAGCTGCCCTGGGTGTTCCTGCTGCAGCAGGGGGGTTGGGCTGGATGATCTTCAGAGGTCACTTCCTACCCCTGTGATTCTGTGCTATAAATTGAATTGCATTTCCATTTCTGGAAGTTTGCCTTCCATCCACCTTCGTATCAAACATTCCTGTCTAAAATATTGTAGGTTTCCTTTTAGAATTTCATCTCCTAGAAGTAAAAATTATCTTGTGGGGAAAAGGTGACTTTTTTAATTGAGGTGACCAAGCTGGTTTTGAGCTGTGGAGATCCAGAAGTCCCCATCTCATCTTCATAAAAGGCAGAATAATTAGTGTTGCTGGGAGTGCTCATTTCAAACTCAGCACCAAATGCACCTTCAGAACATCACTCAGGACCAGTTTGGAATCAATTTGCTGAAGCAAACCATCCCCTGGGAGTGTGGTGGGAGCAGGGCTGAGCTAGATGGCAGCAGAGCCATGAGCTACATGAAGGATGGAGCTACCAGACTGAGATGATGAAAGACACCACCAGGCACCTGCTAGCTTTGCTACAGGCCTTGTTTTAATGCTCTGGGGAAAGCAGGCTGTCAGGAGAAGAAAAAAATGACAAAACCCCTCATTCTAGGTAATTAAAAAAGAAGTTAATCTCTCCTTTTTGATCAGTCTTTCCCATACATTTCATTTTGTTTCCAAATTAAAGGACATCCCAGCTCTGATCCTGTCACACCATCACACACAACCCCTCTCCCATCATTTTCTTTCCCTGGGATGGGAAATGGTGATTTTTTTCACAAGGCTTTGAAGAAATCTGCATTTTTTACCTTGAAAATGCACTTTCCCATGGATTCTGTGCACAGCTGTGAACTCTCACTGATGCCCCTGTGGCCTTGGAGGACCTGGCTTGTAAGTTTAGAGCCTAAAAGAGCCACAGCAGCACTGGGAGGACCTGACTGAAGCTGGGGAAGGGTGTAGAACCCAAGTCCTAGGAGCAGCTGAGGGAGCTGGGGGTGTCCAGCCTGGAGCAGAGAAGGGCCAGGGAGCTGGGGAAGGGGCTGGAGCAGAAGGAGAAGGGTCTGGAGAACTGGTGAGGAGCAGCTGAGGGAGCTGGGGGTGTCCAGCCTGGAGACAAGGAGGTGAGGGGAGACCTGCTGGCTCTGCAGCTGCCTGAGAGGAGGTTGGAGCCAGGGGGGTCGGGCTCTGCTCCCCAGGAACAAGGGATGGGACAAGAGGAAACAGCCTCAAGTTGTGCCAGAGGAGGTTTAGATTGGATCTTAGGGACAATTTCTTCCTGGAAAGGGTTGTCAGGCCCTGGCCCAAGGCAGGGGTGGAGTCCCCATCCCTGGAGAGGTTTCCATGCCCTGTAGATGTGGTGCTGAGGGTCATGGGTTAGTGGTGGCCTTGGCAGGGCTGGGTTAATGGTTGGACTGGATGATCTGAAAGGCCTTTTCCAACCAAAATGATTCCCTGACTCTATACTTGTATCTCCAGAGTATGTCTTTTAAGACTGGCCTTGCCACTGGACCTCCTGCAATGCCTGGTCCCACCCTGCAGGGTCATTCTCTGCCATCATACCTGGTGCCCAAAGTCTTTGTCACCCTCCAAACAGTCCCTCATTTTACTGCCAGGTGCCTGAGCCTTCAGCCAGGCTCTCAAACATGAGGAAGATGGGCACCTAGGACACAGCTGTGGCTTCTAGGGCTGCAAAAAGTGATTGTTCTAGGTAATGAAAAATTAAATTAAAAGAATCCATTACATTAAAATTGAAATATACTGCTGGGTGTTTCAGGGTACCCTTTGGAGGTGAAGATGCAGGGCAGTCAAAGACATGTCACAGATGCAATTCACCAAAGGACACCACCACCACCTTCTGTGTTTTTTCAGAGAGGCCATGAGAAAGCAGCTCTGGCTTGGTGTCCACCTGTATAAATATAGGTGTCCACCTATATAAAGCCTTCTGCATGTTGGACACAACCCACAGCAAGTCTTTCTTCTCCATTATGACTGGATAGACTTTGTCTCTTGTCCATTGCAGAGGAACAAAAATATCTCCTCACCTTTCTGAGGTCATAAATTAAAGATAGCATGGTAAGATCCAGGCTTTGCCCATGAAAGATGAAAACCTTTGGTTAGCTGGAGGCATGAGAGGAAATACCCCACTTTTTAAGATAATAGTCTCTTAAAACTCACCTGTCCCTGAGAATTGTCCAGAGCTCTCCACCTAGACAGGCTTCCATCAGCATGTACAGGTACTTGCTGTCCTTGAACGTCCTGTAGAGCCTGTCAAGGGCAAACAAGAAATCTGCACTAAATCCACCACACAAGTGAGGGCATCAAGGCTGTGCACCTCATCCCAGGAACCCCCACAAGATGAAGGTTATTTTTTGGAGCTAGTCCTACATTTCAGGAGACCATTCCAATGCCTTTTCTCAGGTAGGAAATGTTGCAGCAGGAATGGAGGTGAATCTGCATGGAGAAGTGGCTTGTGGACCTCAGAAGAAGAGATCACCACCACTCTGGGTGCTGCATACAAGGTCTGTTGTTTCTAATGGTGCAACCTGGGACTTGGCTTTCCAGATGGGCTTGAAAGAGGACTTTTCCTCCCATTCTTCATAGCATCCATACTATCATACTCTTCACCCTGCAGACCTGCAGCTGCTTTCCATGTAGTCACCTCAGTGGAGTGTTGCCCAATTTGTGTTCATTTCAGAACTGAAACTCACTGATTTGGAGAGTTTGAAGACAACCTGCTGACATGCAGGCATCTAAAAAATGTTCCTCCTCTTCCTCCTCCTCCCAGGGACTGAATGTGGAGGAAGATTGGACTAAAAGGAGAGATGAGACAGACTTTATGAACTTGTCCTCCTTGTCATCCATGATCTAAACTGTGCAGTAAAATCTGTGCTCTGTTTAATAGGATGTATTCATATATGTTAAGCAAACAGGAACCTGGCCCAGGTTGCCCAGAGAAGCTGTGGCTGCCCCATCCCTGGCAGTGTTGAAGGGCAGGTTGGATGGGGCTTGGAGCAGCCTGGGCTGGTGGGAGGTGTCCCTGCCCATGCAGGGGGTTGGATCTAGATGATCTTTAAGGTCCCTTCCAACCCAAACCATTCCATGACTCAAAAATACCCTCCTGTGATTGAAATGCAACTACCAAACTCTGGAACTGAACACAGAACCTTCAGTATTAGCTGTGGAGCTGCAGAGAAACCTTTCTAGCATCCCTATGCAGTATTATCCTCTGCAGCTCCACTGTTTGGAGCTGAATTTAAAAATCTGAGCTCCCCAGCAGAAGGAGATGTGGAGGGATATTCAGCTTTTATGGAGCTGCTGATGGGCCAGGAGGAAAGCCCAGCAGGATTTGGTGCCCTCTGAAGGCATTCACTTAAATGTTAACTTCAGGTACCTGGCAAAACCCAGCTCAGAAGCAGGTACCTGCTGTATTTTGGACAGGAAAAGATCCCAGCAGGTGCAGCTGTGACCTAGGCAGGAATTTGAGTACCCAAGGTGCTCAGTGCTTCTCTCCCTGGGAAATGTTCTGTAGCTAAAAGGTACCATTTGCAGCCACAACAAAAATTGAAAGGAAAATAAATGAGCCTGGGTTTCAGATCATCCAGTGTTACCTCTGCTGACATTTAAAACCTTGGCTACAAGGTGCTTCTCAGGAAAAATTGGACCAAACTTAGTGATCATTTCACATGGTTAAAATTCACAGGTTTAACAAAGAAAATAAATAATCCTGCTTCTTGCCAGAAGCCAAACAGAATGAATCTTAATAAACATTTCACCTAGGTGAAGGTTTACAGAAAACGAACCTATTCAAGATTCCAAAATACAAGTAATAAACAATTTTTAAGTGTTCAGTGATTTCAGTGCTGCTGCAGGAAGGCCTGACTATCTCTGGTGAAGGTAGAACTGCTGAAAAACTTGATTTCCAGAAAATTTATGGGCATCAAATCTGGCCTCAAGTAGGCAGAAAGAAAATCATCAGGTCTTATCAACTGTAATGGAAGCATAAAGTTTATATATGATGAAACCCCAGTGTTTGACTGAACTAAGCAAGCTTAAAATGTCACAATATTTAAATTACTTTTTTATTCATTTATTTTCTTACTCATTTAAATATTTGCAGACATCCCTGGCTTGACACTTGTTTCCCCTGAGGCCAAACCCAAACAGAGCATTTTGTCCTGTGAAATGCTCAGTTTATCTACCAGGAAGTTTGATTTAGCAACACCTGGCCTCTCCTGATTCTTTTGCCTGCTTTAATGCCATTTATTAACCAAACTGAAGAGTTTTAAGCAGCAGCTTCATGATGAATTAAGAAAATACTTGAATTCTTTGGGTATTTTGTCTTGCCTGTTCTGATATCCCAGAGTTTATGTCCTTGCTCCAAGATCGTTTTAAACCCACCTTTCACCCTGCATCTCAAACCACAACTGATCTACCAAAGTGATGAGATTTCTGCCTGTAGCACCCAAAAAATAGGACTATGAGTAACTTCAGGATAGAAGTTATTACAGTTTCAAGTCCCTGCAGATGCACAGAAGGAGAAGTGAGGAGGAAGTGAAGACACTGAGTCTGATGAACCAGGAGGGGTTGGACTTAGTGACTTTCTTCCCAGGGCTTGAGTTTCATGAGTTTCTTCCCAGGGCAGGATTTCCATGAGGTATTAAAAATAGTCATGGCAGGATTGCTGCTGTGAAGGATGGGAATTACTGCCTGATAGGAAAGGAAAAGACCTACAGCTAATGCAACCTTTTTTCACCTGCCAACTGCAAGAATAAAAGGTGGGAAAGAAGAAGTATTTCTTTTCTTAGCTGTGAATATCAGAGGGTCCATCAAGAACCTTTTGCAGGCTCAGGCTTTATATTTAGGAAGGGATATTTCTGGATATGGTGTCAAAATGTCCCTCTGGCTGGCCCTGTGCTTCACCCCTCTTTGTATCCCCAGCCTGAGACAGCTCAGGCTTCAAAAAAGAAAACCTATAGGCTGGAAATAACCCCTGAGGTATATTTGGCTCTGGTCTAGGCCAGGGAGACGTGGCTGTGAGTCCAACCCTACAGCCAGGCAGGGTGTCAGGATGCAGTTGTCACCCATGAATCAGAGGGGGAATCCCAGGGATCAGCCCAGGAAGGAAACACCCCCTTAGTGCTGATGGTGCCTGTCCCACCCATGCACTTGCTTTTATATCTCACAGGGCTTTGGTTTCACCCCTGGGTTACTCTGACTCTCTGGAGCAATTTTTGGGTTGATCTCCTCTAGCAAAAGGTATCTCCTGGAGGGAGAGAGGCAGCACCCTTGGCAGAGTCAAGAGGATGTCCTTTTATTTCCCTCCAGTGCCATGAAATGCATTGTCCTGACAGAGATCCTCATCCACGTAAAGAACCATCTCTGCTTCCTGCT